CAACAATATGTTAAAAAGATCATATACCATGACCAAGTGGGATTCATCCCAGGGATGCAAGGATGGTTCAATATTCTCAAATCAATAAATGTAATACATCACATAAACAAAAGGACAAAAATCATATGATCATATGTATAGATGTGGAAAAAGCATTTGATAAGGTACAGCACCCATTTATGATAAAAATACTCAGCAAAGTGGGAAAAGAGGGAGCATTCCTCAACATAACAGGACCATATATGAGAGACCTACAGCCAACGTAATACTAAATGGACAAAAACTTAGAGCTTTCCCCCTAAGATCAGGAAGAAGACAAGGATGTCCACTTTCAGCACTCCTGTCCAACACAGTATTGGAAGTCCTAGCCACAGCAATCAGACAAGAAAAGGAAATAAAAGGCATCCAGATCAGGAAGGAGGAAACAAAACTGTCACTGTCTGCAGATGCCATGAGAGTGTACATAGAAAATCCTGCAGACTTGGCCAAAAAACTGCTTGACCTAGTAAATGAATTTGCCAAAACAGCAAGATACAAAGTCAATATCCAGAAATCAAGGCATTGTTGTACACCAACAATGAAACAGCAGAATCAGAAATCAAGAAAAAAATAAAGTATCCAGGAATAAACCTAACCAAAGAGATAAAAGACCTGTTTGATATAGCAAGAAGAAAAATAAAGTATCCAGGAATAAACCTAACCAAAGAGATAAAAGACCTGTATTCAGAAAACTACATAACACTGAAGAAATCAAGGAAGACACAAACAAATCGAAACATATATGGTGTTCATGCACTGGAAGAACTAACATCATCAAAATGTCCATACTACCCAAAGCAATTTACAGATTCAATGTAATACCTATTAAAGTAACAATGGCATATTTCACAGACATAGAACAAAGACTTCCAAAATTTATATGGAACCATAAATGATCCCGAATAGCTGCAGCAATTTTGACAAAGAAGAACAAAGTAGGAGGGATATAATACCTGATACTAAACTGTATTACAAGGCCACTGTAATCAAAACAGCCTGGTACTGGCATAAAAACAGGCACATGGACCAATGGAGCAGAATAGAGAGCCCAGAAATAAACCCAAGTCTCTATAGTCAATTAATATTTGACCAAGGGGACAACAGCATAAAGTGAAATAAAAATAGCCTCTTCAACAAATGGTGTTGGGATAACTGGACAGCTACGTGCAAAAACATGAAACTCGAGCACCAACTTACACCATTCACAAAAATAAATTCAAGGTGGATAAAAGACTTAAATATAAACCATGACACCATTAAAGTCTGAGAGGAGAACATAGGCAGGAATATCTCAGATATTGCACACAGCAACATTTTTACTGATATGTCCCATAGAGCAAGGGATATAAACAGAAGAATAAAGAAATGGGATCTCATAAAAATAAAAAGCTTCTGCAAGGCTAAAGAAAACAGTGTCAAAATAAAAAGAGATCCAACTGTATGGGAAAACATATTTGCCAATGATACCTCAGAGGAGGTTTTGATCTCCAAGATATATAAAGAACTTACACGACTCCACTCTTAGAAGACAAGCAACCCAATTAAAAAATGGGCGAAGGACTTGAACACACATTTCTCCAAGGAAGGCACACAGAGGATCCAGAGACACATGAAAAGATGCTCAATATCACTAGCTATCAAAGAGATGCAAATTAAAACCACCATGAGATACCACTTCACACTAGTGAGAATGACCATCATGAACAAAGCAGCAAGAAACAAGTGTTGGAGAGGTTGTAGAGAAAAAGGAACCCTAGTGCACTGTTGGTGGGATTGCAGACTGGTCCCACCACTGTGGAAAACAGTATTAAATTTCCTCAGAAAACTAAAAATGGATCTGCCTTTTGACCCAGCAATTCCACTGCTGGGATTATATCCTAAGAACCCTGAAACACCAATCCAAAAGAACCTACACACCCCAATGTTCATAACAGCACAATTTGCAATAGCCAAGTGCTGGCAGCAACCTAGGTGCCCATCAGCAAATGAATGGATCAAAAAACCATGGTACATTTACACAATGGAATTCTATGCAGCAGAAAGAAAGAAGGAGCTCCTGACCTTTGTAACAGCATGGATGGAGCTGGAAAGCATCATGCTAAGGGAAATAAGCCAGGAGGTGAAAGACAAATACCATATGATCTCACTTTTAACAGTAACCTAAACAACAAAACAAACAAGCAAAATATAGCCAAAGACACGAAAATAGAGACAGGCAGACAGTGACCAGAGGGGAGAGGGGAGGGAATTTCAAGGGAATTTCAGGGTAGAATCGGAAGGGTTTACTGTAACAAATATAAAGGACACATGGACAAAAACAAGGGGTGGTGGAAATGGGAGGGAGGTGGGGAGGAATGGGTGGGTGGGCTGAGATGGTAGTAAAGGACAGAAAACTGTACTTGAACAATTATTAAAATAAAATTTTTTAAAAAAGGAGGTGGCAAATTGTGAGGGACACCACACACAGTAGAAACTCCCTGTGCCAATGTGAAGAGGACATATGTGAACTTATATGTGACTCAGGAGAAAAGTAAAATGTTTTTAACTCACCTGAAAAATAAATAAATAAATACATACATAAATAAATTGTTGCTGACCTTATTTTGGTTGTGCGAGGAGGCACAGAGGGTCTACCTACGCCTCCATCTTGGCTGGAAGTCCATTTAATATTTTTAAACTTTGGTTGACTGTGGGTAATTGAAATTTCAGAAAGCAAAACCATGGATGAGGGGGGACTACTGTATTTAGAAGTGGCTGTTAGTTAATAATACACTAAGGCTGGTAAATATTACAATTTAAATGTCCAAGAATAAAGGAATATTTATGGTACATTCACACAATAGACTCTTATGAAATCATTAAAATAATAACAAACACATACATACACACACACATATATATTATACTAATATATATTCAATACAAAAAATTTAAATGGGATCAAATCTTGATATTAAAAGGTTTCTTCAAAATTAGTACTCAATCTCTATGAAGGGTTCAGAACAGGCCTCCCCAAGATATGTCACTTTGGCATGTAAATTATTTTGAGCTGAAGGCAATCGAGACCCTGAGGGCTCATGAGAAACTTCTACCTCACCCTTAAAGAATTTAAAATAGGGGCCTTGCCAATAATACAAGTTATCACCAGAAATTACTTTTTATGGACCATCTACAGGGTAAACTTCTAATTACTGAGTATTTTCTCTTATAATCTTGAGAATGACCTTCCTCCCTTCTGATACCCCAAGGCATCTTATAGCATCCTTAGCTGAGAATATTATATATGTACTTCTGTCTCTGAAATTCTCATGTATGTGGAATTCCCGTGTGTGTGTGTGTGTGTGTGTGTGTGCGTGTGTGTGTATAAACATATATAATTAAATTTGGTCATCTTCTCGTTAGCCTGTCTCATATGTATGTTATTTTTAGACCAGCTAAAAGAACATAGAACATCAAAGCTTTTACTTCCTTCACACTAAGAAACCCAGATTTTCAAATATATTTTTAAAAAGTCTTAAGTTTATAAACTATTTGCTTCTGTCTCTTAAAAACAAATTTTTTCTGCAAAGAAACAGAGACAAGCCAAAAAACCCCATGAGCCTGAAAATCTTCTACTTACACAAAATATTATGCTATCAAGAAGTAAAAAGAATAAAGAACTTCAAAACCATGAAAGAAAAAGGATTTTGTCAAAGCTATTAATGACAATGTAGAGCCAGGATAAATACCAACTCATTCTTCATGTACCCTGTGAATCCTTCCCTCATTTCCACATTTAGAAACTGCCCCTCAGTCTCAATCTTGGTAGCATCTTGTATTTTTAATTGACTCCACTGCCTAATTGTATCTTATTTGTTTAAATGCTTTGTTTTTGTCCCCATTAGAAAGTAAAGATTATGTCTTTTCTTTTTGTATATCCAGTGGCAAGCACACAAATTCATCCACAGTGAAAAATGAAAAAGGAAAGAGGATGGTTATGAATGGCCTCATAATGTGAGAATTTAAGGATTTACAAAGTTTTTCTGTGGAAAATCTGAAAAAACCTTTCCATAGAATTATTGGCAAGTTGAAAACTTCAATAAGCATATGCAGAATACAAGTACAATTTCATAAAAGGAAAAAAACCCTTATACTTAAAAAAGATTGAAGAGAAACACCAAAATGTTTAAAGTGATGTTGTTAGAAGCCATAGGTAATTCTTCCCCCTTTTCTTGTTTTCAAAAATGTCTTAAATGCTTAATCTAATCTATACTATTTTCCATAATGACTTTGGCTCCCTAAAAATTAATGACAACATTCTACACTTCCAAATCTATCAAACCAAAATGGTGAGAACCATGCTATTCCATACATGGAGGAAAATGATGAGAACAGAGTACCCTGCCACCCTAAGGGCAGGAGAAAGAAAAGATATAGACTGACTATATTTCTAATACATTAGCTTTTATTATTATTATTCCGGTATATTCCTAACCTGTTTTGATCATCTCTTTTGAGATCCCAAAAAGAAAAGAGACTATTTACATGGAGCAATCACATTCTTAGATTACCTATTATGACAGTATATGCTTATTTTACCAGGTAAAATAAGTCATGGTCTCTATTTTCAAATAATTTACAGTTTGGTGAGAGAAGGGAAAAACTACCCAGATGAAATGCAAACGTATACATCGGAGTGATAAATTATGTGGTATAGGTAATAATCTAACTGGCCTAATCAACATATAAATACCATTAATATCTGATAAACAGCACAGCCAGAGACAGTAACTATTCTATTTTTAGATTGGATAGATGAGCTATTTCAGCTAAGAGTTACAAATATCACACTCAACTGTAAAGATATTTTACAAATTGTAAAGTTTTTTAGTTCGTTTTTGACATAAACTAGAGCAATAAAACCAAAATTTAGACCATATCTTTTCTAAATGGTTAGAATTATCTAAGAAAAAAAAATATACCTGAGATTTTTGTCTTCGAGCTTCTACTGCTGGGAAGAGCTCCATCCAGAGACTGAGCAGAGTGAAAAGGTTAACTTTAGAAAGCCTTGGTATTTGACCTACAAAAGAGAAGGCAGACACTTTAAAATGTTGCTAACGACTTAAATAGGAACTAAGCTCCGTGCCGCTAGGGTGCTGCAGCTTTAGCTCAGCTGCTTTAGCAGGAAGAGAAGGATAAAAGGACAAGAGAATCAAAGTGCTTTTTTATCAGGAAACTGGCCACCATCTCACTTGTGGTGACCTCCTCTGGCACTTCCCAAAGTTAAGACCTCTTACTCCAGCCCTCACACAACTGGGGAGACAAAAAGATACCAGCTATGGGAACAATCCAAGGAAGTTATGAAAGGTCCTTGCATCTTATGTCATCACGGAGCAAGCTTTTCTTTTTTCTTGAAATTGTTGACACTATTACAGATGTACTCCATTTCCCCACCCCTTTTTCCCTCTCCACCCAGCCCCCTCCACCTCACCCCAACCTTCACCACATTGTTGTCTGTGCCCATGGGCTATGCATATATGTTCTTTGGCTGGCTTTTCTTTGGACTGTGGTGTTGCAAGGGCAGTGGTTACAGTATGGTACTGCAAATGCAGTGATCTCTGAGGGTAAAGCAGCTGAAATATAGGAAAGTGAGATGTGTGGTTATGGACAGCAGGACCAATAAAATGGGGTTGTTTGGGTCGAGATAGGATAAAGTATATAAAATAAGAAGGCATCACTCATGTCAACCAAGATGGCTGCCAACCAACCATGACATTTTAACTCAAGAAGGAAATTAAGTCAGCCAGGCAACATGCCAAATGCCTGCCAGGGCACCACACCCAAGATGTGGGCACACCTACTCACAGAGCGCTGGGAGCTTTTGGCCGGGAGCCATGGTATTTCCCAGCTTAAATGCCATGTTTTCAGGTATAATTGGGGTGGACTTCAAACGACCACGGAGACAGCTGAGCTCCACATACCAAGGTGCTGTACCACACCGTAATGATCTCCAGACTGCTGTGCCGCCCACTTGGCTCCAGAAATTCTGCCTTGTAAGCCACGGACGGCTCCCCAGCCTGCTGTGGTGTCTCCCCTGTGCCCTCTCCCCGGCCGTGGGCTAAGACTCTAGGATCCAGGTTCCTTAACCCCCAATTCTCTTGTGTGATGTTACTATTGTTACTAGATTAGTACAGGTTTGGATTGACTCTACATTAATAAAAGCTGAGTGAATAGCATAGTCACCTGCGTTGGTTCCCTGTTATTTCTCCGTGCCAAGGTCACCTGTGGGACTAGTGGTCCTACAGGCGACTGGGCGCTTTCGGTTCTTAAGGCCTGGATCAGACCACAGGAGAGGGAATCAAAGCCTGGCTTACAGGAAAGATTCTGTGGCGAAAACATTTGCTCGCGCAATTTGGAAATCAAGTCAAAAGCACGGCTTGGGGAATTTTCAGGCTCGGGGAATTTCCAGCCTCGTCATTTTCCCAGATGCCAGCTATAGGTCCAGGGAGGAAAAGTAAAGTGAGGCGGTGGGGCAGTGGAGCGGTGGGGGCGAGCGCGCGATTTTGAAAACAGGTGCATCCAGGCTAGGCAATCCCGCTGAATGAAGCACGGACACGCCCAGGAGGTCATAAAACATCCAGGGGCAGAACTGCCAGTGAAGGGGAAGGCAGGGAACCCGGAGTTGAACGGACTGCAGAAAAACAGGACAGAGCAAAACGCTGCGGTGGTGGGAGCAGTCAGAAGCACTCACCGATCATGCTGTCAGTCTGGGTGCTGACTGACCGCCCGGGCCCCGCGCTCTCCAGATCTTGCATCTGCCCTGCTTCTTTCATCCCAAACCTAGCGGTCCCTGCAGCCCAGAAAACCTCTCGCTATTAGGCATGATCTATGTCCCAGAAGCTCCACCTCCCTCCTCCTCCGAGGTGCTGTATAGCAGGAGCCAACTGGTCTCAGCAAGATGACATAAGCAGCCCGACTGCCACTTCCGGGCGCTTTGTGTGACGTCATAGCAAGGCGGGACACAGTGGTGAGGGCTGCCCCGCCTGCCCGCGACTGTTTGGGTAGGATACTCTGTGCAATAAATCATCTGGGGCCGGTTTTTGGCTGTCTTGGTATTTGGCTGCCTTCTTTGGTTTTGCCGAAGTAAGGTTGGGAGAGGAGGTCGACTTGAAGTCCCAGGTTGTCGTAGGTTGATGAGGCCTACTCGGTCTTGGGTTTGAGTCAGAGAAGGAATAGAAATGGAAATCTACCCTATCTGTCATGGTCAAGGCGTTAGAAAATCTCTGAAGGGAAAGGGATAGGAAGTGGGAGATACAGGTAGCTGTTAACATCCTGAGAAAGAATATACGTACTAAGAAAGACTCCTGGTGGCCAACTGGGCTCAAATTTAGTAGCAGAGCCCAGCAGCCATTTCTAAACAGGGGCCTCTCATGCAATGGCAATGGCACTTCAAGGAGATGACTACACTAACAGCCTGCCTGTACTGTGTTCCTGCCATCTGACCCAGCCCTTAAAAAGGAGTTTCTGGAATTGTATTTCATCCAATAGGACTGAGACTTTCCCCCAAAGAACAGGAGCTGTGCAGCTGTATCCCTATTAGTATTTGCACTGACCAATCAGGACAGTGCTTTTTTTTGGACGCCAAATTTCAGGAATTTGAAGTCCTCATTTGCAACCAAGGACCAGAGGCAGCTCCCCTCTGACTCTGAGAGTGCACTTTCCTTTTCCAACAAAGATGGAAGACTGAGTTTCCCCAGCTGAGTGAAACACCTCGTGGCCTTACTGCTTTATAATTGAGCTGTAACAATATTGAGCTGTGCCGTTCCACAGCAGTGCTGTATTGCATTTGAGCTGTTTGCACCAAATAAAGTTTCCTTCTTCATCACACCTCAAATTGGGGATTTCTGTTGACATTGAATTGGCACCAACAAACATTGGCTGACAGCTTCTTACCAAACACATAAAGACATTAAGAGGTGGAACTGTGATTATGAGAGGTGAGGGTAGGAGGTGATAGCAAGCAACCCCTAGAATATCTGAGAAGTACCTGACATTGTAGATTTGTACCCAGTGCATTATATTTTGTTTTATAAGTATCCAAGTCATGACTCAAAACGAAGATCCTGCCTCCCTGCCTCCCCTCAGCCCAGTTTCCATCACCAACTCATTTTGTTATCACAATTTGAAATACTGACAAATATGACATAAAAACTGCTTTTGGAAAGCAAAAGCTGAATGTTATTAAAGTACATTATTTTGTAAAGAACTAATGTGAAGAATCTTCAGTGTTGAAGGGTATGGGTCTGGTTCATTAATTTTCACTACTGTATAGTATTTCATTGTAGCTATACACCACAATTTATCCATATTTGACTTAGAGACATTTTCACCATCTCCAGTTTTATGTTATTGTAAACAGTACTGCTGCTATAAACATTTTGGTATCTATTTCCTTATGTTCTCATAAAAGCATTTCTTTAGAGACTGTACTTAAAAGTAGAATTTTTGTGTTGTTACTATCAATTTACCAGATACTGCTGAAAAGTTATCCAAAGAGATTAGACCAATTTATTACATAACTCTCTATCCCCACTAATTCTTGTTATTGTCAAGCTGTTAATGTTTGCCAGTTTTGGTTGGTATAAAAGGGTATCATGATTTTGATTTTCCGATTTTTAAAATTAAATATATTGGGGTGACATTGGTTAATAAAATTATATGGGTTCCAAGTGTACAATTCTATAATATATCATCCGTATATTGCATTGTGTGTTTACCACCCACCTCATTTTTACTTTAGTTGAACATCTTGCCATATACTGGTTAGTCATACATGTGTCTTCTCTATGAAATGCCCATTAACCACTTTTCTATGTGGTTGTTTTTTATTTCTTTATTTGTTTTTAAGAATTCTTTATATATTCTGGATATTTATTCTCAGTTGGGTGCACATATGATAAATGTCTTCTCCCCATTTGCCACTTGTTTTTTCACTTACTTTATATGTCTTTCAGTATACAATTCTTTATTTTAATATGTCAAGCAGTAATCATTTTCATTACTAGGTTTTATAACTCAATATCTTTTGAAAAATGTTTCCTATCCAAAGTTACAAAGATATTCTTTTACATTTTCTCTAAAAGTCATAAGATTGTCCTTTCATATTTACATCCTTGTTCATGTAGAATTTATTTTTGTGTATGATGTGAAGTAGTGGTCTGATTTTATTTTCCATTTGGATAATCAATTATCCTAGCACTATTTCCTCATTGATCTTCACTGTCACCTCTCTCATAAATCAAAATTCCATTACACATGAGTCTTTTTCTGGGCTTTAAATGTTATGTTAATGACTTACTACAATACTCCTTCCAAAAACACCTTTTATTTTCTTCAGAGAAATATTGGATATTTTTGGCCCTTTAATCTTCCATGCAATTTTAAAAATCATGTTGTCACATTCTTCAAAAAATTCCAAAGAAATACTGATTGGAAGTGATTGAATTTTAATACATAGATTTCCTATTCCTGAACATGGTATACTGGTGTGAACATGATTTCCAAATGATTTTCTAAAGATTTCATAATGTATCTCCACAAAGATTATATATAATTCTATTTTTGTTTTAATTCTATTTTGTTGCTATTGTAAATGATATATTGTAACAATTTTTATTTGTAAGTATTTGTAGCTAGTATGTAGAAATACAAGTGATTTCATGTTTCTCTTAAATTGAGTCATCTTCCTAAACTTTCTTATTAATTTTAGTACCATTTCCTTTTAGTTTCTCTTATTTCTAGATCAAATCTACATCATCTGCAAATAATGACCACTTTATTTGTATCTTTCTATTATTCGAACCTTTTATTTCATATGATTATCTTAACTCTTTATAGGGTCACAGGGAAATATTGAACAGAGGTAAAGGATCCTTGCTTGTTCCTGATTTTAAAGGAAATGTTTTTATTAAATATTAATATTAAAGTATATTTGTTTGCTGTAGATTGTTGATAGCTGTCTATTGTCAGATTCTGCAAATTTCCATTTTTTATTTTTATTGTTGTTTGAATATAGTTATCTCCATTTTCCTCCCACCACTTTCCCCTACCCCACCCACACCCACTTCCCACCCTCAATCCTAACTCCTTTGGTTTTGTCCATGGGTCCTTTATACAGATTACTTGACAACCCTTTGCCTTCTTTCCTCTGTTGTCTCCCTACCCCCTCCCCTCTGGTTACAGTCAGTTTGTTCTTCATTTCAGTGTCTCTGGGTATATTTTGCTTCCTTTTTTGTTTTGTGGATTAGATTCCACTAGTAGCTGAGATCATATGGTATTTGCCTTTCACGTCCTGCCTTACTTCACTTAGCATAATGCTCACCACATCCATCCACGCTGTTGTAAAGAGTAGGAGCTCTTTTCTTTTCTTTTTTTTCTTTTCTTTTTCTCTTTTCTTTTCTTTCTTTTCTCTTTTCTCTTTTCTTTTCTTTCTTCTTTCTTTCTGCAGTGTAGTATTCCATTGTGTAAATATACCACTGTTTTTTGATCCACTCATTTACTGATGGGCACCTATGTTGCATCCAGCACTTGGCTATTGTAAATTGTGCTGCCATGAACATTGGGGTGCATAGGTTCTTTTTATTAGTGTTTCAGTTTTAGGGTACAATCCCAGTGGAATTGCTGGGACAAAAGTCAGTTTCATTTTTAGTTTTCTGAGGAAGCTTCATACTGTTTTCCATAGTGGCTGCACCAGTGTTCATTTACACCAACAGTGTACAAGGGTTCCCTTTTCTCTACAACCTCACCAGCACTTCTTGTTTGTTGATTTGTTTATGATAGCCATTCTCACTGGTATGAAGTGGTATCTCATTGTGGGTTTAATTTACATCTCTCTAATGGCTAGTGATGTGGAGAATCTTTTTATATGTCTCTGGGCCCTCTGTATGTCCTACTTGGAGAATTGCTGTTCAAATCTTTTGCCCATTTTTTAATTGGCTTGTTTGTCTTCCTGGAGTGGATTTGTGTGACTTCTTTATATATTTTGGAGATCAAACCCTTGTCTGAGGTATTATTGGCAAATATGTTTTCCCATATAGTTGGTTCCCTTTTCATTTTAATGCTGTTTTCTTTAGCCTTGCAGAAGCTTTTTAATTTGATGAAGTCCCATTTGTTTATTCTGAGACATATTGGCAAAAAGGCTGCTACATGGAATATCTGAGATTTTCCTGCCTATGTTTTCCTCTAGGACTTTTATGATGTCACAACTTATAGTTAAGTCTTTTATCCACCTTGAATTTATTTTTGTGTATGGTGTAAGTTGGTGCTCGAGTTTCATTTTTTTTTTGCACGTAGCTGTCCATATCTCCCAACACCATTTGTTGAAGAGGCTATTTTTGCTCCATTTTATGCTGCGGCCCCCTTTGTCAAATATTAATTGACCATAGAGACTTGGGTTTATTTCTGGGCTCTCTATTCTGTTCTATTCGTCTAAGTGTCTGTTCTTATGCCAGTACCAGGCTGTTTTGATTACAGTGGCCTTGTAATACAGTTTAGTATCAGGTATTGTATCCCTCCTACTTTGTTCTTCTTTCTCAAAATTGCTGCAACTATTTGGGATCATTTATGGTTCCATATAAATTTTGGAAGTCTTTGTTCTATGTCTGTGAAATATGCCATTGGTCCTTTAATAGGTATTGCATTGAATGTGTAAATTGCTTTGGATACTATGGAAATATTGATGATGTTAATTCTTCCAATACATAACCATGGTATGCTTCCATTTCTTTTTGTTTTCCTTAATTTCTTCAGTGTTTTGTAGTTTTCTGAGTACAGGTCTTTTATCACCTTGTTTAGGTTTATTCCTGGGTACTTTATTTTTCTTCTTGCTATATCAAATGGGAGTGTGTCCCTCATTTCTGTTTCTAATATTTCACTGTTGGTAT